AAAACGATTCCAGCCGAGCATGTCTCTGACCACACTATCCCTTCATATGCTTAGGACAAAGAAACAGATGAACTCTACTTCACCAGCCCTGTATCCCGCCAAGTTCAGATAGGCAACTTTATCATTCACATCTAAAAAATAAAATAAAAATTGAAAAAAAAATTATCATTGACGTATTGGTCTAGGACCTGTGCCACCCGCATGAAAGCCGATTACACTAACAACTTAGCTATTTACTCGTGACGTCACAGATGAATTTTTATACTATACTTTAATACTTTGAGTCTCCTTTTGCAACTTGATTTACGCGCATAGATCTAGATCTAGTAGTAGTAACTTTCAAATTAAATTTTATCTTAAATTAGCCAAAGATTTATATACAATAAAGAAGGTCTGAAATTATCTAGATCTAGATAGAATTATCTATATCTAGATTCTACGACTCGTTTGCTTAAGTCTAGAATCTAGTATTTGCGTAACTCTTGCTAGATCTAGATCTAGTCTAGATCTAGAATCTAGAAATTCTAGATCTAGAATCTAGATCTAGATCTAGAATCTAGATCTAGATCTAGATAGATAAATCACAAAGATTTATTTCAAGTATTTAAGGACTAAAAATGTATTATGATTATAATATGGACTGTATTTTTTATAAATTTAATCTTTGGTATAGATCTATATCTAATTAATCTTTTGTTTAACCTAGATTCTAGATCTATAAATAACTTGCTTGGCCATATGATATTTTTAGATCTATAAATAACTTTCTTACATAGATTGTAGAGCTAGAGAAATTTATGGTAAAACTAAATAAAAAAGACAGTTAAAATTTTATATAAGGGGTCATCCATAAATGACGTCACGCTTTTTTTGACGATTTTTACCTCCCCCCCTCCCCTCCGTCACACGTCGTCACAAAAAGCCAGACCCCCCCCCCTAAAATGACGTCACACTTCAACCTACAACCCCCCTCAAAATTGCAGTTGAATTTTTTAAAAACATCGATATTTTTCCAAAATCTTGTCTAAACTATTACAATTTATTAAAACAGTTATCTAAAACGCGAAATAACGTCTAAAATTCGTTTTCTAACATTGCTTTTTTATAATGCAAAAATGTGACGTCGCAACATCTGACCCACCCCCCCCCTCCCCCTCATCACACATCGTCACAAAATTACGGACCCCCCCTCCCCCCTACGAGTGTGACGTCATTTATGGATGACCCCTAAGTGTTGGAACGTAATAAAAACAGCAAACGGACGTATTGTTAAAGTTATGGCCGACAGAAAATTAGATTTAGAACGCGTTAAACTTTTGAATGGGCCTATGATGGAAGCCGCCATTTTATTGTACTAAAATGTAAACAAAAAAATGTGACGTCACGGTTCCGTCGAGTCTAGTGGTTTTTCTAATCTTTTTTTAAAAAATGTGGTTAATATACCTATGAATAAATCAATAAATTAATTAACGTCTTTAATTAAATGTGTGATTAACAGTCTGTCTGCAATCAAAAATTGTTCTCTACCTACATACTATTTTACAGCTCTCCACATAGAGTAGAACTATTTACAATACACGATCAGACAAACAAACAAAAAAACAAACAAAAAAATAAATATTCAAACATGTAAACAAACTTGAGTTTTAGTAGTATATAGATAGATAGATTATATTGCTGTTTTTTATTTGTGATTCTATTATCTGTGCCATTTTTTATATAAGACAGAATATACAACGTAGTCTAATTTGCTGCAAACAAAAAGGTAGTTTACTTGCTATATTTATATATATATATATATATATATATATATATATATATATATATATATATATATATATATATATATATATATATATATATATATATATATAAATATATGAATAAATGTAGACCTATATTCTTGTAAAAAATATGCAGTCATCTATATTGACAAGAGCCAAACACATATATTGCCAAAATGCTATTTTAAATTTGCTAGTAGAGCAAAGTTGACAAATTCTTTGAAAGTACAAGTTGTTAAGTTTCAGTGGTTTATTACAATTCAAGTAGATATACTAATACTAGAACTTTACATAATACTACTTTCAATGTATGATTTAATTGTTAGTTAGTGTTTTATTGAACTATTTCTAAATTAATAAAAGGAATCTTTCTATCTTTACTTGACTTACGCAGTTAAATATTTATTTCTTAGTATTTACTTTAGTATTATTTATTAGGTTAATAATAGCCTATTTTAAACTAAAGTTTACATTAAAATTAAAACAATTGATAAATAGACAACTTATAATATTATGGTCACAGAAAATCGGAGTATTTGTAGTATTGTATTAATATAGTTAAGATAAGTTCGTTTAGTTGGCCTATATACATTTAATATATGAATGCCGGACTATACAATTATTTTCTAATAATACAACTAAGCAAATTATGTATCGGGAGGCCAAGATATTGATAATATTGTATTATTATTGTAACGGCGTTTAGGTCAACATGTTAGGGATTCAAATGAATAGGCTAACAACAAACTGTACGCTTCTTTTAAAAAAAAAATTAACAATCTAACCTTCCTTCAAGTTACTCTAGATTTACATCTTGTAGTCTATCACTATCATCATTGTTTACGATTTAAAACAGAAATAGCAGAAGCAACTTCTCTATATATTTACTCTTTATCAATTTAATAAAATATTCACATTTGTTTAAAAAAAAAAACGCTAGCTGGCAAGTAGGACCTACCAAAACGAGAAGTTGGTAACCTACTTTTTATACAATTTACAAGTCCTATTGTTTCAAAGAGGAAAAATGACACCTGTGTTCATTGTACCCTATGCCTTGCTTTACGGTAGCTAAGCCGCTGACTGCAAAATTAAAGACATAATAATGCTAACCCATCATAATTTATCTGATGTAATAAGTTATCTAAGGCTCTATTCATAGTACGGACGCTGACACTATAAATAATAACAATAATAATAATAATAATAATAATAATAATAATAATAATAATAATAATAATAATAATAATAATAATACTTATAATAATAATAATAATAATAATAATAATAATAATAATAATAATAATAATAATAATAATAATAATAATAATAATAATAATAATAATAATAATAATAATAATAACAATAATCATAGCAATACTTAAAATAAAAATAATAATTTAAACATTTTAACGGTTACAATAGTCTTTTTTTTATATAGGCTGTTTATAGCAAACATATTAATAAAGTAACAGTTACATATTAAGGCACCATAGTAGACACTGATATGTCTTTGGAAAAAAGAGTTGTATATGGGATAGGTAAACTAATATAACACATATAGTCGACACTACTTTTGCCTTTTGTCAGATGTTTTTAAAGCAGAAAAAGATAATTCAGCTGATCTATTAGTGAAACATTAAAATGTGTCTCTAATTACAATATTTGTTTTAAAATTCAGCTAATTTTTTAAAAGATTAAAAATCATGTATATATCATAATAATTTGTATATTTTATTATAGCAGATATTATATTTTAACTTGTACAATGTATATATAATTCCAGTTCTTTTCTTATGAAATTCCTTTAATTTTTTAAAAATATTTAATAAACTGAGCCAACGTTAGGTATATTGATTACTGTTTAAGACAATTTATAAAAAAAAGGTTATTTGTAAATCCAATTGAATTAACATCTACTCTCCCCCCCCCCCCCCCAACCCCTCTGGTTCACACATCGGTCTAAAGTTCCCACCAGTTCGTATCTAAGGGGCGTGACATTTATGCACGATCATAATCTAATATTTATAAAGAAAATAATTAGTAATTAGGGCATTATCAAATGTGCTTAAAATAAATGTGCCTAATTTTACACAATGTTAACCGAAGTAATTTAATGCAATATCTATAATTTTATTGTAAACTAAAAATAAACTAAGAGAAGTTACTTACATCTTTTTCTAATGTAATTTTAATTTTTTTGTGAATTATCTATCCTTAAAAGTAAATGGGAAATATTGTTCATTACTTGTCAAATTATATAAGAACATGTATATAAGTATTTTGTCAACAAATTTTCACTTGGATTGTGTTTGCAATTTCAGTAATCTAAAAACATATTTTTATACTTTTAATATTTGTTTAAAATATAAGTCATATGTCTTTTTTTATTAAGATTTTACAATTTCCAATTTTTTTCAAAGACTTTATTTTTCTATGTTAAATAGTGTGACACCGAAATAAACACTCTTTCCAAAGTGAATAACAGTACTGTAAATGAAGTTGGATGGGAATATTGATAGTCCCATTCTCCGTCCATCCCCAAACCCACGCCCCCCCCCCCCCCCCCCCCCCCTGTGCAGGAATAGGTCGCTAAACTTCTGGTTTATTCTCAACCAACTGTAAACTCGAAAGAGAATAGTTTAGTAATTTTAAAATATGAAAATATATTAATAATAAAAAAAATAACAAACAAAAAAACAGCTACATTTAATTTTTTAGCATAAATGAAACAATAAAACGGTGACAGATGTTGTTAGAACAATGTGACTACTACATTTTTCTAAATTTAATTTTAAAGACAGAGTTATTTTGAAAAAGATTGTTCTTTTGTACAAAAGTAGTTTTAGTAGTCAATGAGCATAAACATTTAAATTGTATTAAAATTGCTTATGCTTGTTTAGTAAGCTTAACTGTTGTGATCAATATCTTCGCTATATTTGAAAAAAAAAAAAAATTGCTGGACTATTTAGTTTCCATTCGCATTTAATTTAATTTTTACTATAAACAGAATCATTCCACTTACAATATATGTATTGACTCTAGGCTTATAAAAGTTTTGGAATCGGTAAGGAAAAATTACGCTTACTTCACAGAGATCAATTTAAGTTTTTTATACATCCTTCCATGCTGTGAATACTATTTCTAAACATTAATGTACATTTAGTACAAAAAGTTGACTTTGAAATATAGGCCATTGAGGTCCTGTCATCTGTTTGATGTTATGGATGGGTTCTTGTTTGTTTTTACAGTTGATTATTTTCATACTTTTTTAAAAGAAAAATCATTTTTTGTTTTACCGTGTGCGGTTTCTGTGAAAAATGGTTACAGGCACTTAAATCGATTGCATCTCATAGTAAAGAAGACAGCCACATTGAGAAATACAAGACATTCCCATCAATCCATATTATAATAAAAACAACAGAGGACACAATCTCAGAAAGCCTTTTGCTGTTTTTGTGATGGCACTTCGTGTTGCTGTTTGTTCTATCGCGTGTGAGTTCCGAGACAGTAGTGACGTTTTCCTGCAGTGCCTCGCCTGACTCTAGTACATCAGCAGACGTCTGGGTGTACTGGTCTCGTGTAGAGTTTCTCCGCTCTTCATTCTAAATATCAAAATACCGATTTTAGAAATGAAATAAATTTGAAAAACTCACAAAATAATATATTTCACAGATCAAAGTCAAAATCTTCAAAAGAATGCACACAAAATAAATATTGATAAATGAAAACGATAGCAGACCTAGACCTAGACCTAGACCTAGACCTGGACCTAGACCTGGACCTGGTCCTGGACCTGACCTGAGTAATTTCCGCTTACCGGAAGTAGTAATTTACGCTATTTCCGATTTCTCAAAAAAAAATTATCAAGTACTAATATTCCGCACTATGATACACATTTTGTTTGGCGTTCACTTGGTGCACAATTCTTTTTTCTACGAGATTCTATTCTATTATAAAAAGTTAAAAGTATTTTAAAAAGATTAAAAGTATTGTCTATATCCCGATTTGCCATCCCCCGTAGTGTTATATAAGAATATTCGAGAAACTTAGGGGAGAGCACTCCCGGTTTCTTTTTCAGTATTTTAAATGTTGTTATTGACAATAGAGTTGCATGACTTAATTCTATTGCGCATCTAATGAACAAGATAACGCTCGTATAATAGTGTGAAATAGTTGGATAAGACAGCCTACTAATCGGGACAAGAAATTTAATTAATTCATAAAAATTAATAAGGCATCCAATTAAGTCAAATGTAATGTTAGATTGCATTGCCTTCTTGTCCTAACCCACTTGCTAACTTTGAATCGGTTTGTCAGTTAGAAGTGCCCAAAATTTTTCTCGAGCGTTTCCATCTATGACGACAGACAGACGACAGACTAGCCGAGAAAGCAAGTTACATAAAAGCTTGTAAAAATCATGTCTATATCCCGAATTGCCATCCGTTTTGTTATATAAGTATATTCGAGAAAGTGTAGGGGAAATAAATCCCGCTTTATTTTAAACATATATGCGACAAATACTAAGATGCATTGTGTTGTATTTTTAGTCTATTTAATGTAACTACGAATATTTATTGAAAAATTAAACAGTCGTGTATAGTTTCATATTTTAGTTACAATGGAATGAAGGAGAAACATTTGCTTCTTGCTGGATTTGTCCTGATAAAAAAAACAGACAAACTGGAGACCCCTACTATTGGGAATATAGCCAAGGCTAACATTAGAGTTTGTTGTTTTATGAAACTGGTCGGCCTTATGTCCAGTAGACCTTTTTGATGTTGGTCTTTTAGATGTCGGCCTTATTTCCTGTCAGGATCCCCACCCATTCTACGTATGTCCAGTTTACGCACACCTTTGTAGTTTAAGTGGCGTCCCTTAGGTCTGGTACCATAGAGGAGTTCACTATACAGAATGTGACTAGGGATCAGCTTTACCTGCTGCGATTGACTCCTACTTCTGTTGACTCGGTTTATTCTGACTTTCAACTGACTCTTGTTTCTATTGTCGCCTGTTTCTGCAGTCTCGTGGCTTGTACACACAATGAATTCTACACAAATAACTAAGCCAAAAAAACCAACAGAACAATGTACTAACCTCCTTCTTTTCGTAGATGGCATGTATCAAAAATACAGCCCCCACCGTTAATACTGTAAATGCAATATTACAGTATAAAAACATGGTCATTCTTGGTACGGAGGCGGATTTCGGTAAGCATACTGCTATACTTATTACATACGTAACCAAAGCAAATATTTCTGTTATACCTGGAGTGGGAAAAATTATTATTACACAATCTTTGGTATACATTACTTAGATTTTCTATAAGTTAATAGTTTAGGATTAGTCAAGGCATGTATTCGTATTACGAAATTTATGTTCTAATGATAAAATACAAAGAGTAATACATTTTATAGTAGTCTAACCCTTTTTATATAAATTATAAAACATTTTTGTCTGTAAATGTGAGCTTTTTACTTATTCATATAAGTAGTATAGAGGAAGTATTGAAATCGTGAACAATATTGACATCAAGATTTTCATAAACTTCGACGTTTTAGACGTACCTGATTTGGAAAAACTTAATTTTGCAAACTTGTCTGTATGTCTATGGGTGTATGTGTCTGTGATCAAAATAACTTGAGTACCGTTCCAGCTAGGTTGACGCGATTTCATATATAAGTATTATATCAAATTTGTAGTTCTGTATAATTTTTTCAGCGATTTCCGGTAACCCGAAATTGAACCTATTCTACTTTTCTTTTCTTAAAAATTCTATAACTTGAGTAGTCCCTACTGTTACAGATAGACAAATGAAATAAGTAGTACTCCAGGCTATTTCTGATTTCTCAAAAAACGCGTATGAATTTAGTAAGTACTAATGTTCCGCACTATTATACATTGTTTGCTGTTCACTTGGTGTGCAATTCTTTTTTTCTACGAGATTCTATTCTATTTTTTATTTATTTTAAGTATTTGAAAATTTATTAAAAATCAAGTTTATATCCAGAGTTGCAATCTCCCGTAGTGTTATATTAAAAAATAAACCGGAAGTGATCTCCCCTAAACTTTCTCGAATATTCTTATATAAAACAACAGGGGATGGGAACTCGGCTATAGACATGATTTTTAATCCATTTTAAATACTTAAAGTTTTAAAAATAGAATAAAATCTCGTAGACAAAAGAATTGCACACCAAGTGAACGTAAAATAAAAAAGTGCATAATAGTGCGCAATATTATTAGTACTTTATAAATTTATATGCGTTTTTTGAGAAATTGGAAATAGCGTAAATTAGTACTTCTGGTCAACGGAAATTACTCAAAATTTAACAGAAGGTAGAGAATTAGATATTTTACTTACATGTGAAATTTCATTTATCTATCTGAAATAGTACTCAAGTTATAGGCTTTTGAAAAATTCAAAGTAGAAAAAGTACCACTTCCGGTTATCGGAAATCGCACAAAAGTTGATACGGATCTACGATTTTGATAAAATACTTATATATGAAATTTCATCAACCTAGCTGTAACGGTACTCAAGTTATCGTGTTTACACACACACACACAGACACACAGACAGACAGACACACAGACATACGGACAACATTGCAAAATTATGTTTTTCCGTATCAGTGAGATGTAAAACGTCGAGATTTGTAAAAATCTCGATTTTTTTTTTTTTGCACGATTACAAGACTTTCTCTATACTTCGTATATACGAGAAAGTAAAAATTCGAGAAAATTTAGGGGGGAATCACTCCGTTTTATTTTATGAGCTTTTATTTAGTTCACAATGTCTGTTTGTTGTTTTGTGGTTTATAACTCAATTTTCATCCACTTCTCATGCAACGATTTTGTCCAAACATTCCACACTCGTTTGTTTTTTATGACAATGCCACATTTTTAATTTAATTAGATGTAAAATTGGTCATTAAAATTATTGTAATATTAATATAAAGATTACTATAATGAATAAGTAAATTAATGGGATGAAATAGTTACCCAAACCAAGTTTTGTTTTGGCATTTCCGGGTACGGCAATGATGATGACGGATGCAAAGGAGATAAAAATTCCCGGGAACACCAGAATGAAATGAAATATAGATAGCTTCCGGCTAATTTTAATAGTTATCTGAAACAGTTGGTAAAACACAATAAATTAGCGGTATTTTATGAATGCCTAAACGCTGTTTTAGCTGAATTACATACCAACTTTCTATACACACAAAACGGCAACTGATATGTCTGACTATTTAACCATTACTCCTTTGTCACTCTTCGAAACACAACTTTGAACCCATGCCAGGAACTGTGACGATCTTTACTTTAGGCTAATTTTTCAAGGTTACTGTTTAAAAAGCTGTTAGAACTAATATCGTTTTGATAAATATAATTTACTATTTAATTTACGTGATTATTTTGTTACGCTCTTTTTTTCTTTTTTTAAAAAAAAAAACAACTAAAGGTTGATCTCAGTTAAATACAAAATTACTTGAATGAACAATATGATAAATCTAAGAACACGCATATTTTAGCTGTAAGATGTCCTTATAGATTAGTAAAGCTTCAAAATAATATCGAATAATTTTCTAGAACTTACTTATGGTTAGAATCTCATTCAAAGAAAGCTAGACATTTCCTACCCTTTCTTACCCGATATAACACTATATTACCTCTCCATAGACCACTGATCCTAAAATTTTATTTTGTAGGAATCAACATCTCAAAATCTATATAATACATTACAGTTTTCAAATCAATTTAGTAATCCTAAAATTTATAAACTATGAGAATGACATAATTTAAAGAAAAATATCGTATACATCTTTATTAAAAAACGGTTGTAAAGTCATATGTTGTGCTAAAAGAAAGTGTATCCATTCATTTTACCACTCCAAACAGGACATATTGTGCAAAAAAAGTTTAAAAAACAAGCACATTGTAGTATATCATGACACTTTACCCGAATAGCAATATAATTTAAAAATTAATTTTCAACACTACCTTTAATTTTATATAATAGCTAGCCGTCCCGGCCAGGCCCTGTTCTGGCCTCTGTGAAAAACCTATCTGTTAAGGACCATTACCTGTGTCTTTAGTAATCATCATATACCCTGCATTGCCCACCCTAACCACAACCAATCAAAACCAAAACAAAAAACGTAAACATAACGCAAACAAAATTACAAATACAAACACAAACGAAAACAAAAATCTAACAACAAACCCAGCCACAACCACAAACATAAATACAAACACAAATACAAAGGAAAAACATACGAAAAAGCAAACGAAAACAAACCAAATCCAAACACAAACCCAACAACAACACAACACAAAGACAACACAATCCGGGACAACTAGTATTATATCAAATAGTTTATCTTCTTGTAGTTTGGTGCAAATGTCTATATAAGAGCTTTCTGGCGCGACTGACAAAAACGAATTCCCCTTCGTGCGCAAAAAAAGACAGACAAAACGAATGCGCAAAAAAAAGACACAAATAATAACCTGCGGGAATTTCCGTTCCCGAATAAATATCTTTTGTTAATTCACCTGTCTTTATTTAAAAATAAGAAGAAGAAAACAGTACGTTCAGTGTATGGAATAAATAAAAGGCAGTTTTAAAATACCAACAACAATGCACTTAATAAATCCACGCTAATTATGTTATTATTTTTTTTCCTTACACCAAAACAAAGTAATAAAAAGTAAATTCCCCCCCCCCCGATGTAATGTTTTTTTTAAAGGGGAGTAGCTTTGTTTTCCTAATCAAGGGACGTAATGAGCGCTAAAGGACTAAACAAAATAATTTTCAGACACAATTAGAAATGGAAAGTTTTTGTTGACCATTGAATTTAATAGTTACTTGAATCACAACGTTTGAGATTGACCGAAAGAGATGGTTGTCTACTTGGCAAGAGCTGTAAAGGGTGGGGCCCAAGCAGGGCCGGCGCTACCTATAAGGCGAACTAGGCGGTCGCCTAGGGCGCTGTCCGTAGGGGGGGCCAAAATGGGTTGGATAAACAAATCGAAAGTTTGAGGAGGGGTGCAAATCGAAAGTTTGATTGGGGGTGCAAATCGAAAGTTTGTCCCTGGGCGTCGGGAAGGGTCGCTACGCCCCTGATAATACGGGGGCACGAAAACAATTGCGGGGGGGGGGGCGCTTTTAATAAGTTTTGCCTAGGGCGCTAAATAACCTGGCACCGGCACTGGGCCCAAGTTTACATTAAGCCACCCGAACCGTAGTCAGGGTGGCTCTTTTCCCGGGTTATTATTGCCCTAGAGCAGGGGTCGGCAACCTGCGGCTTGCGAGCCGCATGCGGCTCTTTTGATGTCAAAATGCGGCTCTTGCTCAATGCACAAATATTAATAATTATTTTATTTTATTTTTTAAAAACTCATAAAAATATTAGCCTGTAACACTCGGTAATGAACGATATTATAATAAATGTAAGCAATAAACACTCGCTATTCTAGTAGAATATTTTAGTTACTCTCTATTTCAATGTACTTCCTTGTTTTCTAAAACTGAGTTATTTAAATGTAAACAATGCCTGTGCTTGGATCCTATTTATCGGGACACGGGTTTGCCTACACTACCTCCCAGCCCGCCATGGGGCTTGCTGTATGGAAACCTTGAGTTTAAGTTAATCACTCACCAAAATATTAACATTTATCACTCACCGCCTAGGTGTCGGAGACGGAAAGTGGCGCTCTCGTGAATCCGAATGCACTACCGCAGGGCGCCGCGTACGGCCCTAGCTCAGTTTAATCACCAAATGTCGTGTGCCGCATTATCAATAATGTAGGGTGCTCCTTTAAACTAACGTAGTGCTCGCGGGATAGTTCTTGGCGCCAAATCGCACCCTGCAGAGACGCCAGAACAAGCGCCAGATTCGATTTAGTGTGCGACTATAGCAATCCATTGTATCCATAGCCTATCGCAATGTTTAAAAGGAACAAAGGCGCCGTTGTGCTCACGAGAAGGCCCGGTGCGCCAAATTTACCTCTACCGTGGCGCCAGAGGGCGCGCCTGATTCGATTAATTTAACGATTATTATTACCCATTAACGATTATTATTTATTGTATAGCCTTTTTTTAAAAAAAATTAACGTAGATGTCATATTGCCTGGGGCGCTTCGGGTCGAGCAATCGACGAGGTGCCGGCGGTTGCGCCTGTTGCAGTTTTGCCGCTAAATATAGTAGTACCCTTTACCCGCTATGCAGGACGCCAAGTGCTAACATAGCCGTTCCGGAAATCTTGGCGCCTAATCGTGTATTGACGAAAATCACGCCCCATAAGAAATTATTTTTTTCGCAGAAATCTTCTTGGGAGTATTCTCATATACTCTCCAAAGTTTCATGGCATTCGGATAAACGGTGTTGAACCGGATCCGACTTTCTTTTTTGACATGCCATATAGCGAGAAAAATCGAACTGTTAATGACTCTTTAAAAACTGGGAAATTTTGCAAATTGTGACTTTTGGCGCTACAGTCTCAAAAGGTTGCCGACCCCTGCCCTAGAGAGATTATTAGTGGGCGCAACCCCTTTGCTGTTAATTGTTGCATATCACTTGAAGAGAGCACAGTAAACAGCTGGATTCTGAAGGATTCTGTGGCTCTGTATGACAGCAGAGGACGGAAGGACTCTTGGTAGAAGTGACATATAGTAAAAGAATTCGAGTTGATCGCCATAATGTAATACACCTAAAGTGTTTATTATCTAAATCATTAATTTAAAAAATTATTATATACGGCTTTGTAAAAGAAATTTATTTTGCCAAAAGTATAATTTTAATTAACGTCATGTAACATAAACAAAGAAAATGTATCTCCCTTCACAAAAATTAAAAAAGTGTACTTCACCTTGTTCCTTTCTCGCAAATTACTTCCCATGATAGATAACAAAAAAATGTTTACTCTTTAATAAACCGTGAGTGATCTCCCCTAAACTTTCTCGAATATCTATATATATAATTCTCTTCTGGGATCAGTTAGAAAACAAGCTGCAAGCGCTCCTTTGCAGTCCCCTCTCTTCCTCTCTATCACTACCACCCCCACCCCACCCCCACATGATCTGGTGAGCGGTGTTCACTCTGTTTACATTTTACAATCATAGAGACGGGTTTGGTGACGGCTATTAGGGGCAGATAATTTAGTTTGAAACGATTTTAAACTTAGAGGAGGTAACTAAGAGGAGGCTGCTTTCACGTGGGGGGGGGGGGGGGGGGGGGTTAGTGTTTTTAAGCAAATATTTTCAATGGCAGCATTGGTACTGTCGAATTCACAAATTATAAATTACTGAAAAGTAGAAAAAAAAACACAACTAAATAGCGGCGTATGATACGCAGCGGGTCAGCTCGTTCTTATATAAAACAATAGGGTATGGCGACTCGGGATATAGACATGATTTTTAATCCATTTTAAATACCTTGACTTTTTAAAATCTTGTAGAAAGAATTGCACACCAAGTGAACGCCAAATACAATGTGCATAATAGTGCGGAATATTATTAGTACTTTATACATTTTTTGAGAAATCGAAAATAGCAAAAATTACTACTTCCGGTCAATGGAAATTACTAAAAATTTGACAGATGGTAGAGAATTAGATCTTTTTCTTATGTGTGAAACTTCATTTATCTATCTGAAATAGTACTTAAGTTATAGGCTTTGGAAAAATTGAAAGTAGAAAAAAATCCACTTCCGGTTATCGGATCTACGATTTTGATATAATACTTATATATGAAATTTCATCAACCTAGCTGTTACCATACTCAAGTTACCGTGTTTACACACACACACACACACACACACACACACACACACACAAACATACACACACGGACATACGGACAAGATTGTAAAACTTTGTTTTTTCGACCCAGGGAGGTGCAAAACGTCGAGATTTGCAAAAATCTCTTTCTTTTTTTTTTTTTGCACGATTAAAAAACTTTCTCTATAATTCGTATACACGAGAAAGTAAAAAAAACAATTCAACGTTGGAGTGGGGGGGGGGGGCATTTTTTTAAATTTGCTTTGGTTTAGGAAAAATAAATAATCACTTAATTAGCGTAAAACACGGATATTTTTTTAAAAAATGCCTTTTTTTTTAATTTATACACTGAACGTACAGTTTACTAATTATTATTTTTAATCACTAACAGCTTAGAAGCCGCTCCTATAATTGTCCTCTATGTTTACTTCTTTCAGTCGGTTTGCGGACAAGCTGGGGGTATTATAATCGTTCACTAAATTGAATACTATGGAACAAATATAATTGAACACTAAATTGAATATGCTGGGTAAATACGTTTGTTTTGAAAAATCTTCTCGTGAACGCTATGGCGCCTACGTTTGTTTTAGTGAGTTCAATAGACTATGGATAAGATGAGGTATTATAGTCATTTACTAAGTTGTATATATATATATATATATATATATATATATATATATATATATATATATATATATATATATATGTGTGTGTGTGTGAGTGTGTGTGTGTGTGTGTGTGTGTGTGTGTGTGTGTGTGTGTGTGTGTGTGTGTGTGTGTGTGTGTGTGTGTGTGTTTGTGTGTTTTTGTGTGTGTTAGAAGACTCTATTTCCCAATTTAGTAATTAAATTATTTCATTTAATTGCGAATTAGAAAAAAGACCCCCTCCTGCGCCTCCCCCCCCCCCCCAATTTTTTTTTACCCCAAGTAAGCTGTGTAATTGTGATAACATTACTTTAATAGCCGAGTAGGTTATGCCGCTGTCTGTTTCGTTGTATGTGGTCAAATCCAAATCAACCAACTCCCACTCGTTGTTTTTGAAGGTCGTGAAGTTTGATTTTTTTCCCAGAGGCTTAAAACGCAGCTCTTTGTATGGCAACTTCCTGGAGACCAGCTGCAATAAAAAAAAATTCTTAGAATTCGCTTTTTTGGTAGTTGAACCCACCAAGACAATGACTGTAGGCGTTTATTGAGGTTAATAGATCCCTTGCAAACACATGACCAAAATCATGTGATACTGACATGCTCCATCTAGATCAGGGGTCTCCAAACTTTTCAGTCCGAGGGCCGCATTAACTATCAAATTTCAGTTCAGGGGCCAGTTTCTTCCGGGCGTGTCTTTGATTTTTCTGGGCAAATTTCCTCAGCCATCACTAACAAACGTTTTTTCCGTGGACAAAAAGATCTCCGCGGGCCGGATGAGAGGACCTCGCGGGCCGTAGTTTGGAGACCCCTGATCTAGATGGTGGATTTAGCCATCAGCTCGCGCTAGTTTATTGTGAAAATATCTTCAGTTTATTTTTTTTTAAGCTGCCACTCGTAGAACAGCAACAATTCTTAAAGAAACTTGAACCATTAAGAATAAGTATATTTTTTGGTGACCAGCTCATAGAAGATAAAATCCTAAGCTTTAATATGCTACATATTTGACCAAAAGCTAGACATATCCAATCGCCGATCGTGAATTATTTTGGATTCTCAACAAACACAGTGACAAACAACAGGAGTCACAAGTACAAACTGGCAGATACAGATTGCACTGTGGCGTCGCTAGGTCTTGTGTCACACGGTGCGGCACTTCGTGGTGTCACCCCCCCCCCCCACCCAATTAAACAAAGTATATATATATATATATATATATATATATATATATATATATATATATATATATATATATATATGTATATATATTATATATATATGTATGTATGTATATTTGCGTGTGTGTCGGCCTACATAGGCCTATAATTTAAATGTATGCCGCATACGCGTACATGTAATAGTAACGATGTTTATCTATAGTCTGTTGGATGTAGCATTGTTTTCTCTGTAGTAGCGTAAGACTTTGAGTTCAATTAGTAAAAGTGTAATTCTAGTAAATCTAGTAGGCCTATTGATAGAATAGATAAATGCAGTGGCGTAGCGAGGTCGGGTGTCACCCGGTGCGGCACTTAATGGTGTCACCCCCCAGCGGCGTCGCGACCCTTCCCGGGGAGAAACTTTCAAACTTTCGATTTGCACCCCCCCCCCCCTTCAAACTTTTGATCAGCACCCACCCCCCCCCCCCCCTCAAACTTTCGATTTGCACCCCCACCCTCAAATTTTTTCTATATATTTTGCTATTTTTTGCCTTGGTGTCACCCACCTAAAGTGTGTCACCCGGTGCGGTCCGCACCCCCGCCCCCCTCGCTACGCCTCTGGATACATGAACTTTGATCTACAGCTCACCTACGTCATTATACCTGTCTAAATCATTATTTAATAATTTTAGTGTGGTAGTTAAATTTACAAGCCCAGTGAGAGTGACCAGCTAAGCTTATATATGGATCAACAAATAGCTTGGATGTTGACCTTTCTCTAATGTAACTTGAAAGGAGCGATTCAATAGATTACGCCATAGACCATTATAGACTCCATATTTAAGCATATCACTTATTTCAATAAGTCTAAAATATTCAGTAAGCCAACTAAATTTAGGTAAAAAAAATGTATATAAAATAATTATTACTGTTAAGATTAACGCTACATACTAATAAAATTAACAATAGGCTATGCATTATTAATATGGTTCTTGTTAAATGTGTTCTTTTTAGTTATCCGTATATGTATGTATGTGTGTGTGTTCATTTGTTCATGCGTTCATGTGTTCATTTGTCCATTTTTTCATTTGTTTATTTGTTCATTTGGTCATGTGTTTATTTCTTCTTTTGTTTATTTGTTAATGTGTTCATTATTTTATTTGTTCATTTGTTTATTTGTTTTACTTTCTGGTTCCGCCACTGAAGGTTACTTTTTAGAATATAACAGATTGCAAAAGTACGTTCCGTTTGTAACGCAAAATTATAAACTTCATATTTTTTTTTTTTGCAATAAATAAATACAAATAACTTAGAAAAGTTTGAAATTGAGACAACAAAAAAAACTAAAATCACATGCCCGCATAAAAATCCCACCCTAACCCCTGTTTGTATTTATACCTGCAGTGTACATTTCTGTACATCAGTTGGGTAGTTGCTCTCGTCAATTTCACACGAGGCCTTGAAATGCACCTTGGTCTCCCAACGAGTGAAACCATTGTAAAACACCAACACACGGCTGTAGAGACAAAAGAACACATATTTTAAAACTCGTATCACCAGGTAAACTAATGTAAACCATGGTGATGGAAAAGACATGGAACTAAATGACGCCAAAAAAAAATACGAACGCATCATCGCCATTGAAAGGATCACTTTCCTGGAGGCCGTTGACGAAGACAAATTGTGGTCGCCAAACGGCATTTAGCCGAGGGTAAATCCACACGTCGCCGCCGTGATCACCTGGATTCCAGTTTAAATACTGCATGGGATAATGAACAGTTGCAATAACAGATTACAATAAAAGACGTGACAATTTGGATTATCATAAATGTGCAATAGATACAAATAATATTTATTTTTAAAAAATTGCCATCAAAATTGATATCATTTACCATAAAAATTAATAGAATTTACCATTAAAATTGATAGATTAACCATCAAAACGGATCAAATTCACCATCAAAATTACCTCGTTTTTCCAATCAAAGGCCATTTGACTGGTGCAAGAGAAGCTCTGTGAATCCCCGTCAACCTGCTGAATCGAGGTTAAAGAAAAAGTCCAGCGTACTATCGTTTGTTGCATTTTGTTATAAACTGGTCGAGTTTCTATAGATTCACTGAGGTTATTAACCATACTGAGCAGGGGATTTATCCCTGGCAATACTTTGTTGCATTGAATTTCAGTTAGCACAAGCACAATAGCGAACAGGCTCAGACAAGACGCCATGAGAGGTGTTGCTGTTTTAAAAAAAAAACATGCAAGACAATGTTATTTTTTACATTAAAAATAATTACAGTGCATTTACAAACATTTAAACTAAAAGTATATTTAATACTAGTGGTTTCAGCCCGTTTATAATAAAACACACTGAGATGATGTTTTTACTTCCTCGATTATACGAAGTATAGAGAAAGTCTTGTAATCGTGCAAAAAAAAAAATCGAGATTTTTTACAAATCTCGACGTTTTACACCTCACTGATACGGAAAAACATAATTTTGTAATCTTGTCCGTATGTCTGTGTGTCTGTGTGTGTGTGTGTCTGTCTGTCTGTGTGTGTGTAAACACGATTACTTGAGTACCGTTACAGCTAGGTTGATGAAATTTCATATATAAGTATTTTATCAAAATCGTAGATCCGTATCAACTTTTGAGCGATTTCCGATAACCGGAAGGGGTACTTTTTCTACTTTGAATTTTTCAAAAGCCTATAACTTGAGTACTATTTTAGATAGATAAATGAAATTTCACATTTAAATAAAAGATCTAATTCTCTACCTTCTATCAAATTGTGAGTAATTTCCGTTGACCAGAAGTACTAATTTACGCTATTTCCGATTTCTCAAAAAACGCATGTCAATTTATAAAGTACTAATAATATTGCGCACTATTATGCACATTTTTGTTTGTGTTCGCTTGGTGCGCAATTCTTTTTTCTATGAGATTCTATTCTATTTTTAAAAGTTTAAGTAATTAAAAATTATGTCTATATTCCAAGTTATATAAGAATATTCGAGAAATTTAGGGGAGATCACTCCCGGTTCATTTTTTAAATGATTCATATTATTTTCCTAGTAATCAAATTTTGTGTATGATCCCGAAAAACAATCACAATATTATAATTAACTCGGTTTCTTGTACTGTTATAAAGTAGGCTATATACTAGCAAAGCTTCAAAATAGCTATTTTCACGTATGCTTATTAATTATCACTTAATTATAAGAACGTCGTGTTTAGTTTTGCCCCTTGTTAATAAAGTGATTTTCATTTTTTTTTTCAGTAGCTATTGCTCTAATCTATCTAAAAGTAGTTCTCTTCAAACCTGACGGTCCATGAAGAAAGTATAGTAGAGCACCTATTTCTGTGACCGGGACATATGAAGAGGTAGTGTGATCAGCACTATGCCCTGCCGCGTTTACGTTCCCTAACGTGAGTCAGGTATCCATCAGAAACGGGTGGACTCACTGGCGTTCTAGGGACTTGCACCCGGATTCAAACTCGAGACTTCGGGGTCAGCAGTCGTAAGTTTGACACCTCGACCACGCCGTCTCATTATCATCTACTTGGTCTCTTTAAATTTTGTCAATTTGAGTAAGTGTGCGCGTGTTTAATTGTGCGTAAGTATGGAGTGCCTGTGTATAAATGCGTTGGAAATGATGTGGTTTGGGCGTAGAATGATGTGGTTTGGGCGTGGAATGATGTGGTTTGGGCGGTGAATGATGTGGTTTGGGCGGTGAATGATGTGGTTTGGGCGTGGAATGATGTGGTTTGGGCGGTGAATGATGTGGTTTGGGCATGGAATGATGTGGTTTGTGCGGTGAATGATGTGGTTTGGGCGTGGAATGATGTGGTTTGGGCGGTGAATGATGTGGTTTGGGCGTGGAATCGTGTGGTTTGGGACTGGAATGATGTGGTTTGGGAGTGGAATGATGTGGTTTGGGCGTGGAATGATGTGGTTTGGGCGTGGAATGATGTGGTTTGGGCGTGGAATGATGTGGTTTGGGTGTGGAATGATGTGGTTTGGGTGGGGAATTGTGTGGCTTTGGTATGTAGCGGTGTGAAATAAGTGTGGAATGGTGTTATTTGGGAGTGGAATGGTGTGGTTTGCGTTTGGAATGGTGTGGTTTAAGTGAGGAACGGTATGGTTTTGGTATGGAAAGGTGTGGAATATGTGTGGAATGGTAATGGTTTTTAATATGGAATTTCTGTGGTTTTGGTTAATTCGAAAATTTATTGTAAAAACAGATCACAGAAGTAGTAATAACATTTGATGTAAGTAGGCCGAATTCACGAAGTGATTAAATAAGCAAGGCACTTGTGAAAAGAGAATGCGACATCACAATTTTCAACGTGACAACGTGATCAATAATACCGATACCATTTTCTGCATGTTACAAGTAATAACAGACAACAGAAAAACTAATTCACTTGTGTGCATGAACTCAACGCAAAAATGGGATATCTTGTTTCGGCAAAAGTTCGCGTTCAGCTTAAGGGGTTTCCTTAATTGTAAAAGTTCATATTTTAAACCTAGCGGTCAATGGAATAGATGAAGCAGAGTTCACCTGTTGCTGTGACCTCGACTTGTGACGGGATTTGCTCAGCCGCCTTTACTTTTCCTGTTTCGGGTCAGTTACTCATCAGACTCAACTATATCATACGGTCTCGAGCTCGGGATACAAACTCGAGACTTTTGGGATCTAACATCCGACCACGATACGCATATTAACAGTTATATTTCTAAGTAATATAAACTCATTCAAATACGTTTTCAAAAACAGTTATGCAACAGAGTCAGAAAATAAAAAATAAAAGATACATACGATGAAAAGGAAGCTTGCAATCGCCTCCAGAAATCAACGTCTGATTATATGCCAAGTTGTTGGTAACTAGTATCGGTTATGAAGGTACTCACACAGGCTGTGTGGTTCAGTCACTAGACACAGCGGCTTAAATAAGGGACCCCTCCATTCCCTTTTTTCAGACGGCAGATCTAGCGAATTAGCAATATGGTGAACTGTGTAGGCTAAATAGCCCGGCCAGTATAGCAGCAGCTTCTATATTCAACCAGAGTTTCTTCCAGGCATCTCTTCGGAAAGTCTACCGCCCCCTCGAACGAAATGGAATTTATATAGAAAATATATACTTTTGACAGTGTCCGCCCCCCCCCCCAAATTGTTGTCCGCCCCCCCCCCCCCTCGAAAATTTCAAGTGCACCCCCGGAGAAAAAAGTCTGGAAGAAACACTGTATTCAACTCCTGGCCATACATTCCAAAACCTCTTTAAAAGTTAAATGACAAAGTGTTTCATTTAACAAATATAAGTGTGTCAAAATAATTTGTTTAACAATTTCCAATTTGCCAGAGGCATATGTGTACCCTTATTATCAAACCAAAATTCTTCAACACTGTGTTATCGCCATCTTAACACTCTCCTATTATTGTGTTAAAATATCAAATTAATAAAAACTTAAATTCATATTTCTTTCTCCTTTAAAGCAAAAGTCAAAAAAAAAGGGGGGGGGGGGGGTACTGTTGCAATAAAAGAGCAAGTAAATTTCCCTTTCGAACCTGGCGGTTCATAGGGCAAGTGAAGTAGAGTTCACCTGTTTCTATAACCTCGAAACATGAAGGGATAATGTGGTCGACACTATGCCCAGCCGCCTTTACCTTCCTTAATGTAGATACCCATTCTACGCACTTCAACCCGGACTCGAATTCGAGATTGTCGGGTTAGTAGTCATAAGCTCTACCAATCAACCACATCATCTCATACACATCCAATGGTACTGGTCATTTATCTATCATACTCATCCAAAGGTACTGTTCATTTATCTATCATACTCATCCAAAGGTACTGGTCATTTATCTATCATACTCATCCAAAGGTACTGGTCATTTATCTATCATACACATCCAATGGCACTGGTCATTTATCTATCATACACATCCAATGGTACTGGTCATTTATCTATCATACACATCCAATGGTACTGGTCATTTATCTATCTAACCGATAAGACTGTCTTCGGGGTCAGAGGTCACTGCATGTACCTCTACTGACAATTGAGGTGAGGCGGGGGGGGGGGAGGACAAATAAGAAGGAGTTGGTCGTCATTGCTTTGAAGATGATGTGTCTCTCTGCGATTATCTACTCTCATGCTTACTCCTACGGCAAACGGTATATTTTACTTTCACTTCATTTTTACTTTCCCGTATATACGAAGAAGGCCTATAGAGAAAGTCTTGTAACCGTGCAAAAGAATCGAGATTTTTGCAAATTTCGACGTTTTATATCTCCCAGAGTCGGAAAAATATAGTTTTGTAATCTTGTCCGTATGTCTGTAACTGTGTGTGTGTGTAAACACGATAATTTGAGTATATAATATATATATATATATATATATATATATATATATATATATATATATATATATATATATATATATATATATATATATATATATATATATATATATATATATATATATACTAGGCATACTGCCTAGCTTCGCTTAGGTTTTCAAAAAGATTGTTGAGAATTTGAATGATTAATCAATTAGTGATTGGCTGTTATGTGGAGTGCTTAGGGCCTAAGTTTAAACAGTCTGAGTAATTTCATGTCATGCAAAAATAGGGGGAGTATTCGCAAACTAATTACTCGCAAGCTTATTAGAACTGAAAAGGCTTCCATGATAGTATAAATCTTATATTATATTAAATTGACTTTTGCAATTTATGTTTTACATTTTCATTACAATAATTAACTTAATTTATAACAAAAAAAATTATTTAAATGAATGCTATACTTGGTAATTTTTGTTTTTTTCTTTAAAACAGTATAAAAATTATTTTAAAAATATTACTTTAATAAGTTACCGCCCCTGTACAAAGACCAAATGTCGTAGTCTTTGTTTACTATTTTCACTGAAAAATGTTTATATAAGAAAAAACGGCATCTTGAATAATCTAACGAACGTAAAAGTTTTTTTTCCGAGAGGAATAAAAAAAATTTTGTTACCCCACAGTGTCGGTCTACGACCTCACAAATTATTAGGGGGTCGTTCGTCAATTTATTTATATATATCTTATATAATGAGAATTTCACTCGCGGTCATCTATAGAGGTGTATGCAAAAAATGGCCAGATGTGTGTGTGTGTGTGTGTGTGTGTGTGTGTGTGTGTGTGTGTGTGTGTGTGTGTGTGTGTGTGTGTGTGTGTGTGTGTGTGTGTGTGTGTGTGTGTGTGTGTGTGTGTGTGTGTGTGTGTGTGTGTGTGTGTGTGTGTGTGTGTGTGTGTGTGTGTGTGTGTGTGTGTGTGTGTGTGTGTGTGTGTGTGTGTGTGTGTGTGTGTGTGTGTGTGTGTGTGTGTGTGTGTGTGTGTGTGTGTGTGTGTGTGTGTGTGTGTGTGTGTGTGTGTGTGTGTGTGTGTGTGTGTGTGTGTGTGTGTGTGTGTGTGTGTGTGTGTGTGTGTGTGTGTGTGTGTGTGTGTGTGTGTGTGTGTGTGTGTGTGTGTGTGTGTGTGTGTGTGTGTGTGTGTGTGTGTGTGTGTGTGTGTGTGTGTGTGTGTGTGTGTGTGTGTGTGTGTGTGTGTGTGTGTGTGTGTGTGTGTGTGTGTGTGTGTGTGTGTGTGTGTGTGTGTGTGTGTGTGTGTGTGTGTGTGTGTGTGTGTGTGTGTGTGTGTGTGTGTGTGTGTGTGTGTGTGTGTGTGTGTGTGTGTGTGTGTGTGTGTGTGTGTGTGTGTGTGTGTGTGTGTGTGTGTGTGTGTGTGTGTGTGTGTGTGTGTGTGTGTGTGTGTGTGTGTGTGTGTGTGTGTGTGTGTGTGTGTGTGTGTGTGTGTGTGTGTGTGTGTGTGTGTGTGTGTGTGTGTGTGTGTGTGTGTGTGTGTGTGTGTGTGTGTGTGTGTGTGTGTGTGTGTGTGTGTGTGTGTGTGTGTGTGTGTGTGTGTGTGTGTGTGTGTGTGTGTGTGTGTGTGTGTGTGTGTGTGTGTGTGTGTGTGTGTGTGTGTGTGTGTGTGTGTGTGTGTGTGTGTGTGTGTGTGTGTGTGTGTGTGTGTGTGTGTGTGTGTGTGTGTGTGTGTGTGTGTGTGTGTGTGTGTGTGTGTGTGTGTGTGTGTGTGTGTGTGTGTGTGTGTGTGTGTGTGTGTGTGTGTGTGTGTGTGTGTGTGTGTGTGTGTGTGTGTGTGTGTGTGTGTGTGTGTGTGTGTGTGTGTGTGTGTGTGTGTGTGTGTGTGTGTGTGTGTGTGTGTGTGTGTGTGTGTGTGTGTGTGTGTGTGTGTGTGTGTGTGTGTGTGTGTGTGTGTGTGTGTGTGTGTGTGTGTGTGTGTGTGTGTGTGTGTGTGTGTGTGTGTGTGTGTGTGTGTGTGTGTGTGTGTGTGTGTGTGTGTGTGTGTGTGTGTGTGTGTGTGTGTGTGTGTGTGTGTGTGTGTGTGTGTGTGTGTGTGTGTGTGTGTGTGTGTGTGTGTGTGTGTGTGTGTGTGTGTGTGTGTGTGTGTGTGTGTGTGTGTGTGTGTGTGTGTGTGTGTGTGTGTGTGTGTGTGTGTGTGTGTGTGTGTGTGTGTGTGTGTGTGTGTGTGTGTGTGTGTGTGTGTGTGTGTGTGTGTGTGTGTGTGTGTGTGTGTGTGTGTGTGTGTGTGTGTGTGTGTGTGTGTGTGTGTGTGTGTGTGTGTGTGTGTGTGTGTGTGTGTGTGTGTGTGTGTGTGTGTGTGTGTGTGTGTGTGTGTGTGTGTGTGTGTGTGTGTGTGTGTGTGTGTGTGTGTGTGTGTGTGTGTGTGTGTGTGTGTGTGTGTGTGTGTGTGTGTGTGTGTGTGTGTGTGTGTGTGTGTGTGTGTGTGTGTGTGTGTGTGTGTGTGTGTGTGTGTGTGTGTGTGTGTGTGTGTGTGTGTGTGTGTGTGCTGCCTTGTAGTTTGTTCTTGGTTGGACAAAGGCTATGGAAGCAAATCCAAAAAGAAAAGCAGGCTGAAATCGGAGTCAATGGCCTCAATGGCGCATAACCAGTTGACACGTAACGCTTAATTGTGTTGGAGGCGTGGTCGAGTCGGCAAAAAGCTCATGGTTGATACATTCGTACAGTCTCGAGTTCAAACCCACTGGCAGATAAATCTCGATCCCCTTCAACACTAATAATTAAGAACGAAGAAGAAGAAGAAGAAGAAGCACATTTCGCGTAGCGTTCGTCTATAAATGACGTCATATCTGTTAAACGATCCCCTCCCCCGTCAAAATTAGATACCCCTCCGACGCTCTTAAAGTTACGTCACACCTACTATCCCTACTAAGCAGTGATTTCCTTGTAAACGTTAGTGTTCAGCGTTAGGTATATTTATAATTTTTTACAACCTTTTACACATCCTTTGAGTTTTTAAGATTCTGTTAAAAACGTGTGATATGTGACCTTACACTTTCAAAACATTTACATGCATTACTGACTACCACTACATCACTAAAATCCACATACATCACTAACAGCATACATCACTAACAACAACATACATCACTAACAACAACATACATCGCTAACAACAACATACATCACTAACAACAACATACATCACTAACAACAGCATACATCGCTAACAACAACATACATCACTAACAACATACATCGCTAACAACAACATACATCACTAACAACAGCATACATCACTAACAACAACATACATCACTAACAACCACACATATCTTTAGCAGCCACATGCATCCCAAACGAACATACGAATCCCTAACAAACACAGACATAAATGACAACCTCATACAACCCAACTAAAATATAATTACACCAGACATCCGCATACAACTTCGACTTAACCACAAATCCAGCTTAGCATGTAAGAACTGACTTGAGATTTCCAGCTTGAAAAGTTACTCTGACCCCAACAGCTGGCATTTGAGCTATATTAATGAAGACAGCGTTATCAA